AATCTGCACTGATGCTTGGCAAAGGCCTACTCAGTACAGGATGCAAATCCCAATTTCCTGACAAAAAACTCATTCACCCCCTCCCCCAACAAAAACATTTCACTAGACATTGCTTAGAAATGTTGGATAATTACATAACACATTTGGCTGCTGGAAATGAGCTCTTGCTGCCTCTGTTGTGCTTATTTGGTCTGGTTTCATCAACGTGAAAGAAATGTGTGATTTTGCTGCTGTCTACTTTTTTCCGTGAAATATCATTTCAGCAATATTAGAGTAGCCATTTCTTTGCCAGGATTGACCATCTCCAGCAGAAAGGAAAAACAGAGATGAGAAGAGAAACAGGCCTTAAGTTGTCAATCCTTTCTGTTTATGGTCAGTATAACAGTCCTTGTTTTATTGTATCCACTTCTTTATGGATATGGTCACACAACAGATTCTTGAGATTGAATTGGATTACGTTACCTAGTGTACATTTTCTGTGGCCATAGAGAACAACACTTTTGAAGCTTGCTTGAACCTATTATAGCAAGAAGACTTCAATATTCACTTTGTAAGTACTGATCGCCATACCGGAATACAGAGATTGATGGCCTATTGGAACTCATTAACCAGCAATTTGATCTTTGCCCCTATGCCAAAGTATTATGTTGAAATCAAGGTGGAAGAGCATCCTTAACAGATTTGATTACATGGAGGGAAGAATTAAACTACAAGCAATAGCAATGTCATAAGGACAACTGTTAAAAATGATAAAGGGAATCTCAGTATATTGGTAGAAAAAAGTAGTTTCCCATAGGAAGAAAATAATTGTATATGCACAAGCTCATACCTCTCCAGGTGTATTTATGCCTAATACTCTTTTGGCATAACTGCGAACACTGCATTCATGGCCAGCAGGAACACGCTCTTCTGGTTTATGCTGTATCTGTATCTCTTCATTGAGAACAAGAAATTGGTAGTCTGTAAAGTGTACAACAAGACGTTGACAGATCACACTGTTCCAATTATATCCGACAGGGAAATTTTCAAACATCAGGGTTTTCTCTACGCCTAAAGAGTTCCTGAAAAATACTGCTCTCATTGACATAACCTGGAAAAGCAAACTGTAGTTGCATAGCATCATACAAGATTTACAACATTATTACAACTTAATTTTCAGGCAAGCAGTTTAGGCAAAAACAGACTTAAATATCTGCTACCCACTGTAATATAGTTTGTTAAGCTTTTCCATGTTCCGCTGCCATGAAGGAAAAATTGCATCAGCTGATGCTACTGTTGAGCTTTCTTGTTAAGCCGTTATTGGCTCTTATAAAAGAATCTCTTGAAGAAATGGTGGTAGGTAATTTCTCTGATTGTTACTCAAAGTTTAATAACATAATGCAGGTGTGGGCAACTTCAGGCCTCCAGCTGTGCTTTATTTACAAATGCACAGATGCCTCTGTGTCTGAGAGTCATATCTGTAAAGGTGCCCATACACCTTACAATTATCGGACGATTTCCGTATGCGATCGACTTTTCGGCCGATAATCGTATGTGTGCATTGCAGTGTCCGACCGACAGTACTGTACAATCGTACGACTTTTGACGGTCAGGCATGTTTGAAAACTTTGCTAGATCGTACGATTTTCGCAAGGTTGCTGGCGTTTCCGTCCGTCAAAAGTCGTACGATCTACACTGCGCTTGCGCTAACGAGAATAGGGCAAATCAATTACCGCATTTCGTCCAGGTGTTTTTTTCGTTAATTACGGCTAAATTAATCTTGCGATCATCGGGGCAGGATGGGGCTGCCGTATAAAAATCGTACGACTATTCGATCATCGGACGAAAAGATTCGTCCGATAATCGTAAGGTGTATGGGCACCTTAACTGTCAATCTTGCAATGCCCCATGGGACTTCAAGTTCCACAAGAGCTAGAGGGCCAGTGTTGCCCACCCCATACTTAATGTAAACGTCTAGCAATTGGCTCAGAAGTAACATACTGTATTGGGGTTATAAGTGAATGCTGTCTGTACATTTTCCCTTATTCTATTGTTACAGAACAAGTTTGCACCTGTTAATGTTATTGTTATGTGTTATACCTTGAAAAAACTGCTAGCAGTGGGAGATATATTTGTCACCGTTACTGAATTTGACATACAATTTTTAAAAATGAACCATTGAGAAAAGACTTATGGTGTAATGCAGGGGTATTGAATTAAGATTCAAGGAGGTAAAATTTTATTCGACTGGAGATCCGAATCATGGTCCAGACAGAATAGTAATATAGTCTGGACTGCTGTCCGCCATTTAGGTTGCATTCATAGCAGCAGCTTCACTACAATGCACAGCTGCTGGTATGTATTCCCAGGCACTGTGTTGATGCACCGATCCTGATATATTTGTAAAAAATGTTTTGTTACAAATGTATTGAAATATCATGAGAGATATTTAATTAAGTTCTATGGGCACAGCGAGGTGTGATGCAGTTGAGGCCTGCACTACGAAGTCAAGCTGAGGCGAGCCTGTAACGTGCCGACCGTGTTTGGATGCAAGAAGGATTGTGTTAACCTTCTATTTGAGACTGCAGTCATTGATGCAGTTTATATTTGATTTTATGTAAGTAGATTTTTAATAAATGTGCTCTTTTATACCATGATTGATACCACTATGGAGCCTTCTTTTTATTCCTAATATGCACCTGGAACTCTGAGGGATAAACACACATAGACCCTGGAAGCTTTGGCATAATCGTCTGGGCAGACACGATTCAGTGGATCGTTACCAAGGAGGAGGAAGTGTTCTCTTGTATTCCAGCTTTGTAGCCGTCTGGGTCCTTCCCGCCCTATTAAGTGAATGGGGATTGACATTGTTTGACCTTACTCCAAGGTCTACATATAAGGTGAGCAGCACTCTTGTGGGTGATCAGTGATCAGTAATTGTTGAAGTAATTGTTGAACTTCTCACATTGCAGCTGTAGATGCACCTTTTAAACTTTATTCATTTTTTGGACACTCCTATTTAACACGTTTCTTTGCACATATTGTGTACACTTTATTAAGAAAGATTTCATGTATTGCTGTGAATTTATATAATGTAGAATTGTATTACGTTCACTTTTATGTGACACATATTAATTAGAGATCCCTAGGGCAGGAAATTGTTGCTTCTTGAAGTTTGATTTTTCAGGATTGACATCCATGTTGGAGGTCACCTTCCCCTAAGGACCGTCTGTGTTTGAAAAATGGCATTGATAAAAGACATTCTGATAGTTTTATGTAGTCATTGATGAGAATGCCTCCATACAGTGCTTAAAAATATTTGTTGCCCTTCAAAGTTATTTATTAGATTTTCAATATCTGTGTCTCCTCTCACAGAGGTACTCTTGCTTAGCATTTATAAATATTTGTAATTTTGAAAAAATCCAGATATAAGAAATTACTGCGTATCTAAACAGGAAATAAAATGTACACTGTACATGTTGTGACCAATAAGATTGGTGTTGTGCTATAAATACCTCAAACCCCTAATGCCTCTGATTATTGTTAAAGCAAGAGATATGAGCAAAATAGGGTATTATTGTTTTTTCCAGAAAACCTTATTTTTTTTAATGGATTGGGCCAGAACTGGTCCAGGATAATCTTCTAATGAGACCCACGTAAAGAAAACATGAACAAAAATTTGCAGCACGTTATTTCCGGGTGATTCCACAAAACCTTTATCTCTTCTATGATAACATTTTATACTTGGGATACCTATCATGTTAGATTGATGATCATTGCCATTTGCTGTGTCTGGAAAAAAATCATACATTAGGACTGGTCTTTTATTGCTGGTATTTTAATTATATTCTCTGACCACTGTAGGTATCCCACATTTCAAGGAGTATTAAATACCTGCTCTCCACTGCTGAGCCATGCCATTTATCAGACTGGCTTGTACATCACTTCAGGACATACAAGCCGAAGGAGGAACCACATCACTCATCAGGGGAGCAGGCCTTTGACACACCTGAAAGTGTTGTATATCTGCATTGGCCAGTAATGCATCAAAGTTATTACACAGTGGCTTCCCAAAAGGTTACAATATAGCATCTTCTTATAACCCAGTATATATGCTATGATGAAGACAGGATCTGACCATGAAAATAATGAATAGTCTGTCCACTTTCCATCTTTAATTTAGACTACCATTATGCTCTAAGGCCAGACCTTGTCTTCAGCTCAGCATATGTGTCAGGCTGAAAAAGAAAAAGCGCTAAGTGAGTAAAGCAGACTGCACAATGATTAGTGAGATGTATATTGCACAAAGATACATAGTTATATGCCTTTTATTGGTATGATGACTGGGGATTTATTAGTATTTATAATTTCAGTAATAGTTTCTCTATAGAGGATGGATGGTAAAAGGGACATATTTTTCTATCATTTGCCGGAAATAAGCCAGGCGGTGCACGGAGGTGCATGTGAGTTTCCCTCTTCTTCCCCAGAATGCATTGCTCAGTGCCTAAGTGGCAAATTCCCAACACCATCATGTAGGAGCAGGGCAAAGGGACCTTAGTCAGAGCTTACACTATGCTAAGTGTTGGGTCAGAACTAACACCAGAGTTTTGCAGAGGGTACCAGTGAGCAAATGAGGTGGTGAGGAAGTATGTGGAATAATTATCTCACTTATAAATATGTCTGTGTCTTATTTATTTAATATGTAAGCAAGTGCTTACAACCCTCCCTGCTCTAAAGTGAACCTATGACATGGTCCTGAATGGGAATAGAATTAAATCATCATATAATATAAATTAACATTACAGTATATAGATAGCAAGAGAAACAGTGCTAATGTGCTTAGTCAAATTCCTCAATATAGTGTCTATAGATAATCAGTCAACTAAATGAACTACGTAGCACAAAATATTACAGAACAGAAATACAGATTCTTTATGGTATTCGGTGATAGAATTATTTCTGACAGAAAGAAACATTTTTTTTTTAGCTTCTTCTCATCTCTTCTTTGTATCTCATGGTGTTTAGAGGAGTCCTGTTTCTATGACTGTGTCATCAAATGCTGGGTAAAGATCCCTAATGCTCTGACACGTGGCTTGCATCTGCAACGAGTGTGTCCGAATCTGTATCAGAAGGGTATCCCGATGGCTTGATGCACTACCCGTAGAATTCTGCCTGTGTGAATGAGGAAGAGGGACCCGTGGACACAATTGGGGACTGCTGTAGAACATATAGATCCAAGGGTTACTACAACTACTTAGGCAGGCCAGCAGCATAGTGATGGTAAATGCAATGTCTGAAGAATCTGAGTAGAAAAAAGGACAACACAAAAAGGTTAGAGGCATGTGATAATACATTAGACATAGCTTTTTTTAAGTGCATTGTACACAGACCTGCATTTTAATGTAATATGAGAACAAACACTCCTTGTAAAAATGTTGTAGTTATAAAACATGACTTTAAATATGTATGTTACAAAATTAAATTATTTTATAGAAACATATTAGAATGTTACTGATTCCTAAAAACCTTTTAGAATTTTCAGACCCTTCTATTCTACTGAGGTATCTCTAACATGTCATGGTATAAGACATACAGATTTTTTTACTCTTTGTTTGCCAGTAATATGCCTGAGGTGTCTACGAGAAATAGATCAACAATACTGGTACTTTCAGTAGGTCATATCATTGAAATAATAGTTATATCCAATAGGTCATGTCAAGATTTAATGTATAATGCTTTATTCACTACTGAAAAGTAAACCACAAAGTACCATGAAAACAATTTTGTGCATACAGTTGCTTCTTGATGTTAACATAATTCTCAAAAGCCATTACAAGTCATCATTCTCATACTATTTTTTTTAGATTGATAAAGAAACGCAGGCACTTTTTCAATTTACCAGGAAAGAAGTGGCATTTTAGGAAAACAAACAGGGAGCCTATAGGCCTAAGCTGGAAATTGCAGGGAGTCTCTGAGGCCCCTTTCAGACGAGTGGTCCGATAAGGTCCGCCTAGCAGTTCTTCAAACGGATCTGATCAGAAAGTCCAATGTTAGTCTATGGGCAGCCAGATCTAAGCAGATGTGCGTCTGTTAACATTTGATTGCCTCCAACTCTGTCTAGGTCCAGGAAACAAAAGTTTTGGCAGACCTAATGTCTGACTCCCCAAAGACCTAATGGGTCCAGTAAGTTCACTTTTTCCTCCATCACAAGCTAGAGGAAGAAAATTAAATATTGTCACCCCTTGATACCATGACTTCATGATAATATCGCATTTTTTGGACTCTATGGGGGTGATTTACTAACCTAAACACACGCACGCACCAGGTGCGTGGGATTTTTACACAGCAAAACGTATTTATCAACCAAAAAGTCTCTATAAGCATGTTTCCACTAATGCCATATATGGAAAAATCATGCACATGATGCATATATAATGCTGCTTCACAGTTTAGACAAAAATGGTTAGCTCATGCATTTACATTCCTGCATTCATCAACGCAAGCAACACAATGTAGAGCTAATTTACACAACATCACCTTGCAATTCAGGGCAGGGCTTTGCACAACACACCTGCTGGGTGTGTACACACTACAAAGGTGTTTAGATTCCACCCATAGATCATGCTGGGAACACACTACAGAGGTGTATACATGTTCGTGGTGTGTTTATAAGGTTAGTAAATCAACCCCTATATGTTCATTGGATAAGTGATCAATATTGCTGGTATCTATATAAGGGAGGTCATAAGTATATGCTATAATATGAAGGAAGGATCACTGTTTTAGGTGTTCTATTATGCAAATTCAGTTTTTCCTTTTATCTTTTGTATAAAATAAAGATGTCATTTTAACTTACTCTTGTGCAATATCAGTAGTGTTTTCAATACCTTAAAAGCTCTCATTTATGCTGTATTAGTATATAGAAGAAAAAATTGGATGGCAGCACCTGTGTGAGAACAGTTTCAGAACAGTCTGTAAGAATAACTGTGAATAAAGATGTAATCAGCACACCAGCACAACAGAATTTATTGATAGATGTCACTCAGAATATCAAGGTCTTTTGGGGCCGCACAGGGTCCCCTTCATCAGGCTCAGAGTAGACATTGATGTCTTCTGTCAATAAATGGATTTGCACTGACCTAAATTCTGGGGACATGATTTTGATGTACAAAATGTTCAGTGATGATGGCAACATCAGCACTAAACGGTTTACCGTAAACTCCCTAACAAGGACTAGAGCTCACCACCTAAAATTGGTGTAGAAAAGATTTATCCACAAAGGGAGTAGGGGTTTCTTTTCACTTAGAGCAGTTACATTTTGGAACTCTCTGCCGCAAGCAGTGGTATCTGCAAAGAATATTGATTTTTTCAAAAATTAATTAGATACCATCCTAAGAGACCATAACATACAGGGGTACAGATACTCTTAAATACTAGACCACACAGGGACTCATATACACATGCACACGCAAAGGTTGAACTTGATGGACCTGTATCTTTTTTCAACCTCAAATACTATGTAACTATGTATGTAAGGATGCCAGAACCACTTTCTAAGAAAATCAGGAAAAACAGATTCAGCCTATAGCTTTTTTCCCCAGTCTCTTACCAGGGAATGGTTTAAACGTACAAGGAATTCTAGAAAGGTATAAGAAATATAACATGAGTTTCCTACACCTTAAAAACAATCTGTACTTCAAACTTACAGCATATATTTGGACCTGGTGCTGTGGCCTGTTTCTTTGTGAAAATGTCTGCCGTCATCCTGCCATGTCAGTTTGTATCTCTTCCTGGTACCTTTTCTAGCACCTTTTCTTTTATCTGTACGCGATTATAGTTTGTGTCTCTGCGATCTTTTTACCCAAACCTTATTTTAGCAATCTATCATAGAATTTAGGGAGTCCCTGGCTGTTGGTCCAGTGTATTATTGTGTGCATTTCTAAGTCTGATTCCCATTTTATGTATTTAGTAGGGTTTACATATCATTAACCATACATCTGAAAAATCTGACCTGCTAAATCACAATTAAATTCTCTTTGGTTCCCTTTGGTCTCTTAAATATAGTATAGGAGTACAGTTCCCTGTCCCTCTGCTATGGAGAAAATTATGCATACAAGATCCATTCCGGTGCCTTATGGGCCCAAGAAAATTGCATTTATAAAATGAATGAGACCTAGATAATTGGACAGCCTCAGCCAGGTACTTTAATACCAGCTAAGTAGATGCTCTGACATTTGCTACAATACTGAATACTATTATACTCAAGCAGATTGGTGCAAGCAATATATGTACATTCATGACATGTACGTGTTATTAAATAAATATATATATAAATATATATATATATGCATAAAGGAATAAGTAGCAACCGAAGCTGTATCCCAATTTATAAAATGGGACTTTTCTTAAAATATTCTAAACATCTCATTGAAAGTCAGGCATTACAGTAAATTTAAAAGAAGGATGGAGCTTTAAAACTTTGAGTAGGAGAATCCCTGAAATTAATTTAACATTTTAAGGAGTTAATAGAGTTAATAGATCATGTGTATGCTATATGTTTGTGAGATAAGGTGCAATTTGTGCTGATGTTATTATTGTTATTATTATTATTACCAAAATATGTTGCAATTAATGTGTATGCAATTTGATCATATTATGGCTATATTAAAGTGGTTGGACTGGCTCTTATAATTTTAATTTAGAAAGAAATATAAGCACAGACAATACTGACAGCATTTGTCATATGTTCAAATTGTATATATAAGCACACCTTTATATTAAGTTTTGGATAGGGAATGCTTAAAACACCTGTCAGTTTTTTGCTGTCTGTGTCCAACTGGGGAGATTTCCCTTCAATTCCTGTCAAAATGATGCAACAAGTAATGTGAGGAAATCCACAGAGTAAGTGGAATTCCCCTCTTGGACAGTTAACACTGTGTCAATTGTCCCCATCAGAAGATTTATCCTCAGCTCATGCTCTAATGACAACTGAAAATATTGGATTTTTGCTAACTTTCTGTCTTAGGGTCTTAATCCTTCCATGCTCTATCCAAAAAGAAAATTGCTATACATAGATTTTTAGTGAAAAAAACACAACGTATACTGTATTTGCAGAGTCAAGCATATTTTCAAATACACGCCACAAAAACCTAAAAAAAAGTATATACATGGTCCATTATAATTTCAATACTCCTTGATGGTGTCTTTAGAGGTAAAGGTTAATATAAATCAGATCTGATGATATTTACTAGATTGTGCAAACTTAACACAAGCATACTATAATCATATAATGCTTACCGTCATCTGGAGCATTTTCATCCCATACAGACCACATCTGAACACTGAAGAAAGGTGTCCAGCATATAATATATGAAAGAACAATGACAAAAGTCATCTTTACTGTTCTGATCTTGGCTCTGGAAATAGTTTGTACACTGCTTACTCTGGAGGGCATCACCTGCCTATGTCTTGATGTCTGAATCTTCCCTTTCAGGTTCTTGCATATCTCACAGCAAATTAAACTGTAGCATACTACAAGGATTCCAACGGGCACAACAAATAAAGAAACGGTGGTCCATGTGATGTAGGCTTTAGCACCCCATGGATATCTAAAGTCAGCCCAGCAATCTATAATTCCTGTGTTATGATCAATTTCCCTTATAGAGAAAATGAAGATTTGAGGGAGACTTAAAAGGCAACTGATAATCCATGTAGTCCCAATCATGATATAAGCATGTTGTGTTGGCTGTTGCAAAGTTTTTAGTGGATGACATACTGCAATGTATCTGTCTATAGTCATCATCATGAGCATGTAAGTAGACGCAAACATGCTCATCACTTGAGTATATTTCACAGTCCTACAAAGAAAGTCAGAGCCAATGAATCGAAAAGTAATGTCCCAGATCAACTGGGGTAAAATCTGAAACAGGGCTACTGCCAAGTCAGTGATAGCAAGGTGAACAATAAAGAGATGCATCCTGGTCATCTTTTTCACTCTTCTGTATATAGCAAGCAATACTCCGGCATTTCCTATCATTGTGATGGTCAAAATAATACTCAAGACTGCCACTTCAGCCTTAGCTAAATCTTCATCTCTCAAGTCTGAAGAATTCACAATATTGTAGAATTTCACAGACGAATATAGGGGGTAGGGGTCCATATCCACAATGGTACTGTTAAAATTAGAATTCATATTTCTGTAAGTAATAGAAGAGTGTGCGCCCAGCGGCTATATAGAGTCGTAGAATGTTTTCCTAAATGCCTACAAACTTCAGTCCAGTTTAAATATGTTTTTTTTTAAATGCTATTTTACCTCTACTGCTGTAGTCCAAATTGAGGGTTACCATCAAACATTATATAGTAAAATGGAAAGTTCGGATGAATGCGTAGTTTCCAATAATGTGATACCTTTTGTAATGTTCCTTGCTAATGTTTCTTTGCAGAGTTGGCTTGAGCTGAATGAGTAGAAATTTCGTAGAGCAAAATTGGATGTGTAGGTCCAGTAATATACTGATGTCACAGTTGAAGAATGTATTTCTTCTGAATTGCTGGTAATTCAAAAAGGTGACTGATACTTAACAGTCAGCGGCAGTCTGTAGTTATTGAAGAGAACAAAACCAGCATCAGTATGAAGTGCAGGTGTTAGTCTAAAGCACAACCCAGGTAACCATGCCTCTATTAATTTACTTCTGTCTGCTCTCTGTCCCTATCTCTTTGACATCACAAAACCAATTATGTCAGATTCTATGGAAACACCAATCGGGGAATACAGAATGGAATTCAATACAGAGCTATGAAAACACAATGGGGTATAAGTTGTTCATTTTCAGTTTACAATAAGAGATTATAGTATTCCATAACTTCTAATACGATTATTAAAATGAGGGTAATTTGTTTATATTTTTATTTGACAAGTTTAACATTACAATATTATCCATTACACATGAATATGTCGCGGCATTATGGCAAGTGCTAAGCGAAGTCAGTAGCATTCTTGTTCCTCAGGTGACAGCCATGGAATGAAACAGAATAGTAGAAAGCCAAAATTGCATATATTGCAGAGTGAGTCACAAGAGAAAGGCACCCTCTCTACAATGTTTTTTTGCAACTGGGGCAAATCTAGGCATATTTGAAGACTAAAAGTGTATGTAAACCCAAAAAAACAATAATGTAATATATTGCAGCTTGCCACTCCTTCAATGTGGTGGCTGCATCAGTTTTCTTTAAAGTTTTTTTTTCCCCTTTATTTTCACCTTGTGATCCGGCCAGTAACACACTTTCTGTTAGAGAGCCTGAACTTTATGGAGGAGGACTGGCTTCATTTTTGGACAGCAGCATTATCATCTGTGGAGAGGTTGGTTTCAGATGCTCTAACAGATTTCAATGGACTAACAAATTAAATCCAAAACCCAGCTAATACTTTTTAAGCAGTTAAAGTAACAGTTTTTTTTCCTTTTGTGATAAAAGTTTTAAATGGTTTATCTCAGTCCTCAGTCTGCCACTTTTGTTGGACAGTGTGGACTGTTACAGGAGGATGAAAAATAACAGGCAAACTGGCCAGATCACCAGGTGAAAAATAAAGAAAAAAAAACAACTAATGCAACCACATTTAGGGATTGTTAAGTTGCAAATATATTAAAATGTGTATATTTTTTATTGAAAATTATGCACAATACAAAGCATTAAAGAACATTCTGTGCCAATGATAGAACCATAGAGTATCAATTAGAAAACATAAAATAATGGCACAATCATTATCTAACAAACTGGGGAAAAAATCTATTGCTGTGTTGGCAGGACAGATATTTTATAATGATCCAGGAAGAAGTTATCTGCAGATAGAAAATAAAGAGTAGGCCGCAGGACTACTTTATATGTCCTCAAAGGGAGGGTCTGCGCTGGGCAATCCAAGAAAAATAAAGAAATAAGGACAAACGCACACCAGAACAAAAACCTTGTACTTTTTTTTTTAAAGCTGTAGCTGCAGATTTCTGGTTGGAATGTTCATTCGCAGTGTGGTAAATGGTACTTGTGTGACGTGACTTGGTGCCTGAGCAAAGATGTCTATTACTATGCATTTGGAAACTATTCCTGGGCCTACTAATTTAGTTGGGGTAAAGCAAAAATCAAGACCAGTCTGAGTCTTAACCAGAGACAACCAATAAAAGCAAATATTTGATGATGAGCTAGGAGACGCCAAAAGTAAGTTGAACCACAAGAAGAAGCCAGATTTGAAAACACAATAGCAACCTAGCAGGTGAGAATATAGACACCTCTGATCTGGAACTCACTGACTGCCCTGAACCCAATTTTAGCTGTACTGATTAAAGTGAGGTACAGAGCTGCAGTGTGATCATGCTACTGTGCTAAATATTATACAGCATATGACAGGAGTGATCATCTAGGCATAGCAGACTAGAACACCAAGAACAGCAAAATGTAAAAACAGATTATTAAATGGCCCAATCATGGCCACATGGTAATGATTGGCTTTGATTTTGATTTGCTTTCTACTGTCTTTCTATTCAAAAGGTTGGCATACACTTTACAAACCGCACAAGACTTTTGTCTTGCGAGGGTTGTAAAGTAATTTAAAAAACATACGATCTGCCCATCTTGGACAGGCAGATCGTACTTGCGATCATCGCAAGCCCACCCCTGAGGGGTCGGCTTCCGATGACTGCAATGAGGGGTGGGCTTCCGATGACTGCAAACGGGCAGTGTGCACGTGCGCACGCCGGCCCTTCGGCAGTTGTTGAACAAGCAGGCCACTATTCTCATCGGGTTTTCCAGCCTGCTTGTTCGACGGAAGACGTGTGACCGTACAGTAGAAACAGTCGCATGCCTTCCATACACTTTGAGATTATCGTACGATCGCAGGATTTCCCGTGATTATTGTACGATAATCGTACAGTGTACGGGCACCTTAACCCTCTTTTTTTTTTTATTATGCTTGTCTGTTTCCAATGCTGACTTCCAGCCTAACCTTAATTAGAAGCTTTCTTGCAGCCAAAAGCATGCCCACGATCAAGGAATCTGATCTTTATCTGTTAGAGCCTGAACCATGGGGTATTTCTCCATGTTCTTGTGCAATAAAGGATTAACTTAATCTGTGCAGATATAAGTAGTGTTTTTAGTTTTGCACAGAAATAGATTAACTGACAGCAGGCAAATGTGTGAAAAGGACTCATCACTCTTGGCTGGACCAGAGTGGACATTGTTAATTCAGTCAAGCCCAGTCAAATCAACCCTCCTACCTGGTGTAAAATTACCTGTCAGTCAAACACCCAAATATCCAGACCTGAGAGAGGGATTCAATCCAGATTAATTAAATTAACCTCTCCCACCTGTCTTTGTACCCTCCTGCCACAGACACTCAAATTACCAGGCAAGACAAAAGTACATAATTAAACAGCTAACATTACCTCTTCCACGTGTCTGTGTAGCCCCCATTACCCCCTGGAGCCAGGACGATTGCAATGCTCTGGAAATGGATTTAAAATGCTCAGCTTAATCCCAAGAAAAAAGACTTTGTTCAAACAATGTTTCTACAATAGATCTGTGTTGCAGCCAGATCTCCCAGGATATGTGGCAAAACACTCATCTAAAGCTACAGTCTTGCTGGAACCTCTGCTTGCCTACCTGCCTGCTTCCATGCTTGCCTGAGAAAGTCCATAAGAGTGCTCTTATGGCTACAACTGAAAGTGTAGCTGGGCAAAAAGGTTAGTGTAAAAAAAAAAAAAAGTGTTTAAAAATTAAAGTAACATATAAGAAAAATAAAAAAAAGTCCCCTGCCCCCCATGTTCACACACATATACATGCAAAAACGCATCTGTGCGCCCAAGTGCTAAAACAACAACTGTGCTACACATGTTACATATCACTGCGGACGTTGGAGTGAGAGCAATAATTTCAGAGCCATTAATCACTGTTAGCACTAAACTGATGAGCAGTAAAAGCGTTTAAATCATCACCTATGGGAAATTTTGGGTATTGAAGTTTTTTGCGGTTTCACGGGCGAAAGCAATTTTAAGGCTTGACATCTGATTTTTCCAAAGAATTGGGTATTGTATGCTGTTTCTGTGCACTAAATTTTATTTGTTTATTTTATCCTAAAAATACTGGTTTGATAAACATTTGCGCAAATACCGTGCAACATAAAAAATTGCAACTAGCATTTTTTTTATTCTACAGGGCTTCTGCTTTTAGAAAATATATAATTATTTGGGGGTTTGAAGATGTTTTCTAGCCAAAAATGAATATTTTATCATGTGTGTGCAAATAGTAAGAAATTGCTCCGGAACGCAACGTTGCTCTTCAATACCTGAAGAGAAGAATTATAAAAAAAATTAAATTCTACTATTTTTATTAATCATGTAATCAAATGTATAATACAACTTTACATGTCCTGTTTAGATCAATGCCTAACACAGTACATTACAATAAACATAAAGACATAGCCATCTCTGCAAGGTATATATATTATATTTATTGATGTTCGGAAATCGACAAAAATAATTTGTAGATTATTTCTATATTTTGGTAAATGATGCTATATTTGGTTTGATTGTAAACTATAAAAAAAGTTGTGCTAGATGCTGTCATTTAACCTGTATGTCACTGGATATCAGAACAATGCTTATATGAGGTTATGTTTGTGCAAACCCCGTCAACAGTACTTGCTGTGAGTAGATGGGTGCAGTTAATCCCTCTTTCTTTGTCTTTTCTGAAAATTCACGCACGTCTTTATCCGAGGATTCTTGATATCTTTATCCCTGGGTGTGTTATTTCATCCAGGATCTTAATAGAGACACCTGTGCTCAGGGTAGTTGATTAAAAAAGGATTGACTAAAAACAGTGTCAGTGATATTATAGTTTGTTTATGGACCATCAAAGGCCAAATCAGTTTTAATTTTGGCCTGAACTAAAGCAATGGTTTTAATCTCTTGTTCCTAAGAAATCTAACCACTTGCTAGCAATCAAATTAACCTTTCAGCCACCTAATTTTCTAGCTAGCCTTATTGTCCCTTGCTACATGTACGCTAACTTTGACATTATGCAGAACATTTACAATTTACTTAAAGCTAAATATAAATGAAACTTAAAGCGTATCTAAACATTTAGCCCTGCTTGTCTGAAGCAGGGCTAAATGTAGAGAAA